TTTTTTTGTCTGATGAAATTGATAAAAATTGCATATTCATGTTATAACAAAAAAAAAAATTTATAAGAGTAATGTACAATGATTCAGAGTATGAAGAGCCATCACCACTTGCTCCTAATAAATGAGATCGTTCGTTTGCCTAAAACAATTCATAAATTATATAGAATCAATCAACTGGTAGAAAATATTATCAACATCATTATTATTGTTACTGTTGCAAACCTTTGATGTGTCAATTCCTCTACCAAAACAACTATAACAACAACCCATTATTTAAAAAAAGAATGATATATATATTAATTTTAAAAGATTATGATTATTGTAACAAAAATCATAAAAAGGGTCCATGTGCGTACAAGGCAATTTTTTTGTGCTGATCACTACCATTAGATAAAATGATTATTATTATTTGTTGTTATTTCTCTCTTTAATAATCTTGATTTTTTTTTAGTATATTAGATATTGCTTTATAGGAAGAAAAAAAAGTATTAATTAATAATGCAATCATAACATTAAAATCAAATTACTTGCAAGATTTACCAAGAAAAACGAAAATAGCCAATAAAATGGCATTGACACAAAATACGAAATCACAAAGAGAATGAAATTTGCAACCATCATGAATTTACGAGCGAATGCTATTGTAGAGATACTCTTATACTAACATCACCATCATCAATATTACTATTTATTATTTTCATTAAAAACTTTCGTATTTATAAAGTTCTGCTAATTTAGTTTACCCAATGTAACAAATTCTTTGACAGTTGTCTTTTGGTTGGATTCGTAATACTTGAAATGTTTGAATTTTGTCAGCTTTTCTTTATATTAGTATCTATCTATATTTAACACATTATCGAAAGTTCGCTATGAGGAGCAATGAAGATAATAGTGAGCGATGTAATCGGATCTTACGTGATAAATACATGATTTATTCCGATTAATCCGTTAAGACATTAGGATTAATATTAGTAAATGAGACCCCGGAGAATTATATTTGAGGTCATACGCTATTATGTTGTAAAACTTTATGTTAATGCCATCAAACAACATAGCAAAAAATGCAACATTTAAAAAGAGGGGTCTTTTGACACAAAGATCTTATAGATCCATCGATGAGAACTCCATTCATATGAGCGGATATATGAATGTCAAAAACAATTTTTGATTATTGTTCCATTAATAACTAAAAAATAAATTATTCCGAGAAAAAGACTAGATTTCACTCTCCAAGTCAAACTCCACCACAACAAACTTACTATTAATTTCTCTCTATGACAAATGTCTTTCTTTATTAATATAGCGAACAAAGGCTTAAATTTCTTAGAAATTAATGTTTAAAAAACATTGCAAGTAAGTAAAGAAAAAAAAATTGTTTTTTTTATGAAATTAATCGAGTTATCACAGTAATTATACTTACTACGTTCACCAACAAGGTAAATAATTTCGTTTTGGGTTTAATAAAAACTTTTACGAACGAAAAACAAATCCTAGGAAGAAACAATAGAAGCAAACCAGAAGTGAGACGAGGGGGGGAAAAAAACTGATGATATTAATAATGATATTGTTACCGGAATTAAACTTTAAAGCAGATACGTATTTTGGCTGAACCTCTTAATTCCGAGACAATTTAATTTTTTCTTGCATAATTTTATTTTTTTATCTTTATCATATTCTATTTTATTTTCTATTTATTTTCATTATTTTATCGTTTATATCCGTGTTACATCCCGTATTAGTATATTCATCTATCATTATTATCATTATATATAGTAGAAATTAGTGACGATGCGCCCATGAACCCAAGCGGGCACGCGAACACAATCAGGCTCATAATTAACTAACATGTATATAAGGAACTCGAATTTGACCTACTGTAAAAGTAGCTTTGTAACAAGTTAATTAGTTTCGACTAAGGAAAACAAACAAAATAATAAATATTTTATTTAAACAAACTTTTATCTTCTTTATACAAAATTATCACTAACACAAAATTAATTCATTAATTACCCTTTCATTCTGATCCACATAAACCAAAAATACGTTCTCACAAATTTAATCGGTGACAATATTATTGTAGTTAATAATAGTAATAAAAATAGTCTAGATGGATACGGCGGTCAAAGAATATTCACAATTGCTTTGGGTCTGATTATTATATTTTCTTCCTACAAGAGGAAGCAAGACCTCAAATCCCTCATCATCACAAGGAAGAGTCAACACCATCATCGACGTCCTCGTCTTCATCAGATACTTTGGATGAAATAAATCTAATATCAATAATTAACTCGGACGAATTATTCTCGCTATCAGAAGATTACATAATTTCAATACTTCAAAGGGAGGATTTAGACTTGCCAGAGATTGAAATATGGTTAAATCTATTAAGCTGGGGTATCTCAAATACACCAAGGTTAAACGTGTATAATGACGACGATAATGATGAATGTTATTATCATCATTACGACATGTCAAAATGGATGAAAGACGATTTCAAAGAACTAAGGGAGACTTTGAAAAATTGCATTAAATGGATAAGATTTTTTCAAATCGGCCCACAAGAATTCGCGAAATATGTTTTGCCATTTAAGCGAATCTTACCAAAAGATATTGTCAGTAATTTTCTAAGGCAACAAATTACCGGCCACATGCCAATTTTTTCTATTAATCTACCGCCAAGAATCCCTTCAACTGATATCGAATCAACTATAATAGCTGGAAGACATGCAACTATTATATCAAACTGGATAAAATCGCCAAATGATCCAACACTAGGCTACGATGATCGTCCATTATCAGGATTAAATTCATTTAATTTGTTATTTAGAGCAACTAGAGATACTTTAACTATGGAAAATTTATATTCAAAATGTCATGATAAAGGCCCAATAATTATACTGGCGAAACTTTGTAATTCGAATTGTATTGTAGGTGGTTATAATCCATTAAATAGTTGTTTTGAAAATATGAGAAGACGATTATCAACTTCGCATTCATATTCATCTTTACCATCAACCAAATCCAGATCATCGAAAAGATTTTCCATCAGTAGCTATAATACTAATAGTGATAGATCATCGAGAAGATTCTCCATCATTAATTATAATAATACTAATAATAGTGAGAGTAACATTATTATTGATGATAGTAACAATGATAACGATAATAGTTCAAAAGAGAAAAGTTTTATATTTTCATTCAAAGATAGTTGTCATCCAGAAAATAATTCTATAGTTAGTAGAATTTTACCAGAATTTGAAAATAAAAGATTCAATCATAAAAGGCATCCAAACAATGGATTTTATTTTGGTGCTGGTCCTGATTTATGGATTAACATTGACTGTAAAGATAAAATTGTCAAAAATTCTCCCCTCTCTTACGAACATCGAATTTTAGATTCTTCTGGAATTTTTATATGGGAAGATTTTGAAGTATTTCAAGTTGTAAAAAATTGAAAAATTTTTTGTTAATTCCTTTCTTTTTTCCTTTTTTATTAATAAATAAATTGTTTTAAATAATAAATAACAGAAAAATTAAAAAAAATATATATATATATATAATCTTTGCAAATTTTTTAATAATCTTAATATCACATTATCTTAAATCATCATCCCTGTGTACTATTACTATTAATAGGTGCAGAATTAGCCCATGTTAAAGGAACTACCAAATCACCAACATATTCAACTTTAATTTGTTTAAGCGCTTGATTTATCTCGTCCATGGCTTTCGATAACTTTTTGTTATTTAGAAAAAAATTTTTTGAATTAGTAAAATTATTCCTAACCATACATGTACTTTTGTGTGTTATGTATGTTAGAAATATATATATTACCAATTCTTCATCTTCATTGGTTATTTTCCCTTCTGATAATATCAAACCTGATGATGAAGATGATTCAGAGTTTTGCCATGATTTAGTCGATTCATCATTTACTTGTTCCTTCGGTGAATTTTCTTTATGATCTTGTAATTGTTGCTGCTGCTGATGTATCAGATGTGATAATGTTTGTCTTTTCTTTAATTTAGAGATTGTTAAACCTTTTTCTTGTATTTTTGGAAAGGTTTTTGAATTCAATTTAATTGTACTTATTAAAGCTCTAAAGGATAAGAATGATATAAAAAAGAATAATAATTAAAAATTGAAATAAAATAATGATAATGATAATGATAATAATAATAATAATTGTTATTATTACTTGTATTGATTCGAACGTTCAGT